ATAGCTCCTTATAAATATAGAATTTGCACTTACATTTTTATCAAACACATGTACAACGACGAAATTAATCGAAACCCTTACACAAGCAGGTATACATCGACCTTTTCCGAATCAAAGTACTGTGGGAGACAATAAATCACAGCGGCCAGTATTCCTTTAGTGGATTATTTAGTGATTGAAGTAAATTACTCAAAAAAAAGGTAATGGCATATAATATACAGTGTATTTACTATAACTGTAATTGAACTGAATTATTTAAAGATGAATGAAACGTAGCTCTAAATTTTTCCGTTTTATTTTAATGTTACATTACCCAATAAAAGGTATACCATAGAAGCAATTGTCAAATTTATATAAAACACGTATCTTATCGTTGCGATAAATTTATTTTACATTCATATGGTAAAAAAAGAACATAAACTACATTTACCAAATAAGTTATGAAACAAGCTAATATTGGTGAACAACATTCGTCTATATTACACACCCTAAATATTTAAAGTAGTCATCAGATCAATGTGGTCATGATAAGGTCGGAGGTGCAGGATAAACCATTTTTGACAAAAAAGATTTCTACTCACCTAAAATTTACATGGTTTTTGCAAAAAAAACAATTATAACTAACAAATTTTCTGTCAAATGGTTATTTTATTTTTTTTGTCTACACATTTTATGCAGTGATACATCTGCACTTTCAACAACCCTTCTATTCTAACTCTTCTATCTTCTATCATGATATTATGACATCCTAATAATGGCAGTCAAAATAAAACGATTATTTATAATTTTATGGATCCAAATAATACTAAACAGTTGTATATGAAACGTACAAAGTATTATTTCTCAAAGTAGCGTTAGTATCCACTTTAACAACTTTCTCGAAGCGTGTTTGTTATTTTAAAGTAAGTTTTCATACTCCGGCACGCACTCGCGTGTTATACGTATATTTAAATGTGTATAACATTTCACCCGTCAACCCACGCGTGGTACGTGCCCCATCATTTTTGTGATTAAAGACTGTGACGTGATCCAAATATATTTTAATTCCAATGCGTGTATGGATCAAGCGCAACTGGTACATCCATATACAAAAAATTATAAAAACAATATAAAAGTACATACGTGTTATAATCGATGGCGGTTTCGTTGGCATAAAATATATTACATTAAATTATATTGTAATATAACTTATAGAAACGGCTGGTTATTAACTGGTATTTATTTTACTTTTTACCGAGTGTTAAGCGCCCGTAAGTTAAAAAAATAAATAATAAAAGTAGCCATTATTTCTTGAGTTGGCATTATAATAAATTTCCAATTTTTTTTTTTTTTTTGCTACTGTGTATCTTTTGAATACAAAAAAAATGGTATTTCTTATTTGAAATACGCACATCTTAAAACAAAAACAAACGCTGTTTATTGATTACATAATCATTAACGTGTTTACATGAGTTTTGAGAGATGGAGTAGTGATTCACCGTAGTGAAATTTTTCGTTAATTCTACCAGCTTTATTTTTCTATAAATATAATTAAAATTATTTGATTTTTTAACTATATTAATTATTTAAAATTTTCATTGCTTTTACATATTAGCAAGTCAAAAAGTTAAGTAAAATTAGTCCGAATATAACTAAAATATGAGTATTAGTTAGAAAAACATTTTTTTTTTTACAAAACACAATCGATTTCAATAAAAACGTTATTCATTTATTTTATTCGGCTTGTTTTAATACATTTTTTTTACATATATTTGCGGATTTTTTATGAACCTATAAAATAAAATAATAATAATATATTTTAATTTTAAAATTATTGCATTAAAAAACAAATATTGATTTGTATTATAAAATATCTCTTATTTCACCGGGCAAAAAAATTCTAGTGAAAACGTTTTATTAAAAACAATCCATTCAGCCACTAGCCGTAACTCGAAAAAACAACTAAGATTAGCCTGAAATTGAGATATTGTTGAAAATATTCGTTTTAAAAAATTAAGTAAATAACGCAAATACTGATGGACTTCATATAATTATAATTATTAATAATTAAAATAGTTGTATTTGGCTTAACTTTATAACTTTTATAATTTGCTATTAAACGAGATAAAACCATTTGAATAAACTCTTCGTTCACCATTACATATGTGTACAACTTCACAGACATATGAAGAGTTTCTTACGTACAATTATATATATTGATCAACCAACGAGGGTTTATAAACTGTGGTATTCGAATAATCAATCATCATCTCGTTCGGTTTGGTCAATTGAAATACAGCGGTAGGCTTGCATGTACCAGAAAACATCGATGACGATGTAATGTATTACACTTTTAATTTATATAGAACCATCATCAATCAAATCAATAGTGTTATACACTATCATACACACACACACACACACACACACACACATATATATATTAATAAACTATTGTATGTAGGTATTAGTTGTTACGAATGTCATTGAAATAAATATATATATTAAATGTATTATATTTAATTCATTATAAACTAATTTAATATTTGCCTCATTTTTATAATAGAATATACAAATAAATCAAGTATCAAATTTGTTTTTAAACTATTCTGTGGTTTATAAATATTTCGCAAATGTATTGATGTTATGAGATTGTTGGAAGCTTACATAATCAATTTATTTAACTTTTAATTTTGTATTTCAAAATTAAAACACTGATAAAATTGTGGCCATAATATATTCTTTAAATATCTCATTTGTTTTTAAATTAAGGGAAACCTGTTTCTTCGAGTCATTAAAAATTTAGATGATAAAATGCAAAAAAAGAAATCTTTGATATCGATCAACATACACACATATTTAAGGCTTAAAAATGTATTTTACTCGTTGTTTTCTAATATAACTATAAAACGGAATGTAAAAAAAAATAGGTTAACACACTCACAATCCCTTTTTGTATTTCCTAATTGTATTTTATAAACAACATATCTTTACATATACCTATATCCTATATATTATAGGTAGTAAAAATATGGTCATTAGAAATGTCTTAAAAGAACATGAATACTACAAATGCATATGAGATTGTTGAGATGACAAAAATCGTTTTCTCGTGTTGTTATTAGTGTTTTTATTGTTGTATATTGTTATTATTGATTTCGACCATACAAATAAATAAATAAATAAATAAATAATTATTGTTTATTCAGCAACCTATGTTAACACTCACATTGATGCCCTTTTATTTCGGAAACATTCATAGCTACCAATGGTACACGTGACGAGTAACAATATGCATAATAAAAGGAATTTTATTAATACATCTTCAGTATGAGTACTAATGACAATTGCTAATAACCCATAGCAGACAAATACTATGGAACAAAAGAAAACCATTCAAATCATGGTTATATACACAAGCAATTCATGAAGTTTGAAGATTATTCTACAATCCATTAATATTAGTTGGTAAGTATTTAATACCAGAAAATCGTACAAAATAGGCATAGTAAAATAACTTAAGTGTTAATAAAAACCAAATAATAATTTTTATATTATCATCTATGTATCACATATGATGGGTTTTTCTTATTCTAACACAACATAATTTTTATTTATAAAATTAATAGAATTATTACAATAATGTTCTATTAGAATAAATAATGAAAAATACATTGTATTTGATACCAAGATGACAATATTAAAATTATTATTTGTCTAATATTTATCTCCTGTAATAAATTAGATCACAGTATTATACTCAAAATTGTATTATATCAGATCCACTTATTTTATTTAAAGACATTAAGGAATTTTTCTTCGTTTTTTCGTCTACTTTTACTAAAAATCTCGTTATTAATTTAAGCATCTTAAATTTAAACCACCTATGAAGAGACATATCTAATTATGCATGTACTTTTCTGAAATGTAATAAACATTTAATACTCAATAAAATAACAAAATCCATGTTTTTTTTTTTAAGTGTATTAATTATAATGTCACTTTTAAATTTTATAATTTTGAATAACATATTTTAGTAAATAGTTTAAGGGATTTTATATAGGCAATTCTTGTGTCACATTAATAAATAAAATATAATATAAATTGTATTACATATTTAGCTTCAATATACATAAATAGGAATTTATTTAACAATACTATACTTTTAAATTACAAAGTTTTTTTTAAAGGTTTGATTTCAAAACAATCGTTGGTTGTTAGTCGCAGAAATACGTTTCTGAGTTTCAATAAACATTTTTAAAAGACAAAAATGTTCTTGTAATTTACCTCACAAAATTTAGTTTTACGAGTTACATAATCATACTACGAGAAACAATATAACAACATGTTCAATTTGGAATTTGCTATTATATATAATTAACCACGACCTATTAAGAAAATATTTATTAAAATTACATCATTTCATACACCGCAATCGACTGTTGCATTATTGGATTTATTATTTTAAATTAGCAATTCAAGTATTTTGTTGGAGCTGCGAAATTTTATGGCAAAAACTATGAATTCTACGCAGTACTCGAGTCGGCAAAATTAAAGAAGGGGACTCTATTTACTTAAAAAAAAAGAACGCCCCAAAACTTGTTAAGCTAATTATAACGTTATAATAGTAGGGAGTCACTAATATTCCTGGAAATTAGTTGAGGTACTCTGCCCCCCTGCCCCCCTAACGTCAAACATTGGTTCTACGACATATTTTGTTTGGTAAAATAAATAATAAGGTACGAATTTTGAATCTTTTTATACTGAACGCGGGAAAAATTGCATTGCTTGTACGATGAATTCAAATCGATTTTCAGAAAGTCCTTAACCAAATGGATAAACATTCGTAACTTCAGAGTATCTACACGATGGACTTCAAACGTTCATTAAAAATGTAGAGTGTGCCTAAAATTGCAAATCGTAGGCCCCGCTTAGCGTCGGGGGTAAACACGTCTTCTGCGACCACACGAACGGCGGTGCAATACTATAACGGTTTTATCGTAACAAACGTTTGCACTTACCGCAACGGCGACGGTTCGTGGTTTCCCGTTTCGTATTTTTTTTTCCTCCAACGGACAATGGCGGCGACGGTTCCGGCGGTTGCGACGAGAGTGTTGACGGTACGCGCGACGGAGACGTAATACGCGCGCGAACCCGAGTCGTGGTGGGCTGTTGAATGAATGATAAATGGAAAAGCGGCCCACCGCCGTGGGTGGAAAACCCCGTGTACATTTCCATCATCCCTATGGCGCGCGCTGCCCGACCACCCACCACCCGCCGACCCGGCCTGGCACGCCGGCCCGCGCCGCCATGACGTCAACGGCCCACAGTGTTACCAGTTGCGCGGGAATCGATACTCGGCAGGAGGACCGCCGCCGCCGTAGCCGCCGCCGCCGTAGCCGCCGCCGCCGAACCGCGGACCAAAGGTCATGGCGCTGTGGCACACACGTCCGACCGTTGGGGTTACCTACACGGATCTACGTGGACCGCATGTTTATCGTCATCATTGTTATTACGATTAATAATTATTATGATTGATCATCGTCGTCACAACATACACTACCGGAAGTACGTACACATCGTATCGATGACGGAAGGGCAGCCGGCGGCTAATGTTTTTTACAGCGACGGAAATCAAGTTTTTTTTTTTTTTTATCGGAATTCGTGTACAATACTCGTAATACGACTGCACTATTTAAACTTTAACGACTACGAAATACCTGAAAAACCATGTGTTTACACAGTTCGATTTCGTTTAGAAAATTAATAATCATAGGTACTCAAAACAATGTATTATCCGTTCTCCTACCGGGTCTTAATCATTAACTGTATTTTACTGCCCATGTCTTAGTCATACCCACGACATAATGTAACCAGTCATGATGTTCACATTTTCCTTTTATTGTATTGTCGACAGGATATTTTAGAGTTAGTGTGTGTCCAACGATAATTTTAATCACATATTTGATGAGTCAAGTTCATATCTAATAAATAAAGAAAGACAATGTTTATAGGTGGTTATCCTTTCGTTACGTTAACCGCAGATGTCTTGCAGTTATAGTCCGCTACAATATGGTATCTGAATAACCAATATTTATATGCCTCTTTTTATCGAGTTAATCGTAAATCTATGTTCCGTGAAACAAACTATTTATCTATCGTCGTCTAACACATGTTGACTAACTAGAAGAAAAAATGTCTTATAGTTTTCGGTTTGTATAACTTTTTACGACGTGGGTCTTACTAGTGACTTAATAGCACCATATTAAAACGAAATTTTTTTCGATTCTATACCTATTTTGATTTATGTGTTTCAAGTATTCTTTATTTGATTTAAAATTAAAAATATTTTTCATAAGTTTAATTGATAGAGATCATTGATTACACTCCAAATACGATTGTATAATATACTATATATCTTCAACATTTATATAAATGATATGCAAATTATAACTAGTCAAATACTAATATTAACTATTTTATTTGCTTACAAATGCATATTTGGGTGTTTTAGGGCAGCTTATTTGTTGACATTCTAGAACTATACAAGACCAAAACAAAAACAAAGAATAATATACATATTTACATACATCTATAATATATTGATGTATTTTCATAATATTATTTATTAAGTGTTATGAAAAAATTACATATTATATGTAATTCAATAAAGGTTATGTATTATCTTAAAAAATAAAATTTCAATCCATTCCAAAAAAGTATAATGAATATAATGTTTTTTTTTAATTGTATCGATGGTGTTTTTGATGTAGGTACTAATAAAAACAGAATTTTGGCTATCGATTTTGATTAAAATTAGTCAGTGAAAGACATAAGCGCCAAAATGAGATAAGAAAAAAAAAGTCGTTAAGTTCGAAAGCGCCAAAATCGTAACAGATATTAATTTGAGCTGAAATTCCGGATAATGAGGTTATATTAACTACAAATGCAGTCGAATCATATCATCGACATTTAAAAGATCAGTTTTATATGGCTCATTGTTCCGTTCATATAGTAATTGATGTATTATTAAAATTACAAATCGAAACATATTTATTTATGAACTCTCCTCGTATTAATAAATTAAGGATATCTCACGAAGAAATAATTGTTTAATGGAAAAAATACCAAGATAGTGAAATAAATCGTACAGAATACATGAAAAGAGTGGGATTAAAAAAGCAACCAATTTATATATTATAATATTATATAATTTTATATTATAATTTATTATCGACATAATAATATTAATACAATTCATATAAGATATAGCAATTTTTAAATAATTACCTACTTCTATAAAATATTAATTTTGGCGCTTATGTCATACAGCCAAATTAGTATTACTAGATTAATATATTTTCGAATATTATATCTATTTAGATAACAGTTTCAATGATTCATAATTTCGATTTTGATTCATTGTTCCTTACACAAATTATTATTTTTTACCATCATAATTTTCGTTATAAATATTTAAACATTTTGAGATGCACACGTTTAAAAATTAAAACATAATATATTATACGGAGAACGTAATGTGGATATATTGTTTATTATAAGTATTACCAATATCGTTTGTTTACTGTACTTTGCACGTCAAAACATATTATTGACAAAACCGAGAAAATCAAGAAAATATACATTTATAGTTAACACTAATAAATTAAAATGTTTATAAATCGTTTTACATTTTTACTCAAAAAAATTAAAAAAATATCAGAATTTCGTGTTGGTGCACACAACAAATAAAGCCATAACATTTGTAAGCAAATATTCATCTCAAAACTATAAGTATTATAGTATTATATTATAAATTATAAAAATAAACACAAGATTGTTGAATAAAAACTATAAATTGTGAACGATATATTATCACAGACTATAGGTTATTATTATTTATTTTATAGTTGATTTTCTGTGTTAAAGATATTATTTGTAACCGGATGATGATGACCCAAGGCTAAAACCATTGGATACAACAGATAATCTAAATGCACATTAATTTTACATTTATAAAATAAATGTAATTGAATACGCTTGAAGATAATTATAAAAAAAAAACTAACACCCGCGTGTTCGCAGTACAGTGACTTCTGTAATTATTATTCTATCGCCCCTATAACGGTCATAACGGGTACCTATATTAAGATGATAAAAACAACTGAAAAGCACTCGTATGACACGTGCATTACTCACAAACTACTTATATTAAACTCGATAACATAATAAAAATAAAAATATATTACATTTTCTTCTTTCGAATGAATTGCGATTAATCAATTTCGTATAAGCATTATATGTATATATTAAATACATATCGGGATACCAGATAGTTCTGGTATAGCTCGTGGCTAGATTATGCGCAATTTTAATAAAATGCACGAATGGTATGAATTGAATTTCAAACGTGCTACCGCTGGGTTTAATCAAATCATCGTAACCAAATCCTTTGATGATTTTCAGTAGTAAACGAAAAACAAATTATTAATTAACTTTATGTTTTATTATTTACTATTTAACTTTAAGAATAATTTTTTTTAGGCCTATCGATCAATATACAGTGCGAGTACTCCTAAATAACAAATTTACTTGTTTTGGGTAATACTTATAAATAAGCCAAACGCAATACAATAATGAGAATACAAATATTAGAAAAATATAAAAATTTATTATTATCAATTGAGTTATTTATCAAATTATCAATTTTTTGCTATCTATATACATTAAAACAATATATAAAATTGCATCATGGATGAAGTAAATAAATAAAAATACATGTTATTTAGCATAAGCGAATTGAGATAATTACCGACAATTGTGAATAAAAAAATTAAAAAATATTCATTTATATGTTATCAATAAAAATTTCAAAAATATCTGAAAAAAATAATCTGAAAAGTTATCAATATAATTACTAACACAACCAAATAATGTTTTTTTTTTTATTTTGCCTTTATCGAAGCAATGCAATCAAATTAAACATACATATTATTTTTTTAAGTAGATTTTCTTTTATATAACAAATATAAACTAATTGATAATTGCAAAAACGTCACTAGTCATATATTTTATGAAATTGAGATATTAGTTAAAACAAACTAGTCATGTCTTTTTACACTCAACAAATAGAAACATACGAATAGTTTTTGTTTTAGCTAATATCTCAATTTCATAAAATGTGAAGTTTTTATTTGCTTTCTATTAATGAATGACGAAGGATATTTAAAAATGCACACATATTGTTATGCATCTATATACAAATAATATTATCCAAAAATGGAAATGATCTATAGTCAAGTAAATAATACTGGGGTTTCATTTATAACTTTTTATCTTGATTAGCAAAATAATTTACTAGATGACTTAATAATTAGGTTTTTTTTTTTTGTATATTTTAAAATAATCATAATCACGTAAATATTAAAAATGTATTTTGTATGAAGTATAAATTAAAACTAAATAGTGCACATCATTTTGATCATTGGATAATCATAAAATGATTAATAATTATTTAAACATTAAAAATGACGTAACTATATGTTATGTTATCTAGTTGCTTGTTTCAACAAAAAACTAAAAAAAAAAATTTTTTTCACCTAAATAAACCTAAAAAACCTAAATTAAAAAAGTTTAATTAATTATTTAATATCTATATATTTTCTGTGAAATTCACATTTGTGGTTAAATAATTCCAGCTTAGTTTTAGTGACATTTTCGTCATTAACTTACCGTCCATTGGTATTATTTTTAATTTTAAATCAAACGTATTAAAATTACTTTTTGAAAATAAATCCATTAAATTTCCACAGAATCAGTAGAAACAAGTAACTATATTATATTCGCATTCTACTTGTGTATTATATTTTCACTTGATTCCTAAAAAATATGGTTTCTATGAGTTATATTTAACTCAGCAGTCGTTCTTTTTATGTTGAAGGAAGAGCTGCCAAAGAGGACTACATATTTTACAAAATAGTGTGACTGATTTATTTAATTGAGTGATAAAAATATGTTTAAACTAATGCTCGTTTGTTATAATATTTCATATGTCAGTTTCCGCAATGGTTTATTGATGACATTTGCTTGATAGCGCGTTTGTGCTCTTAAATAAACGTTGCATTCTGCTATAATATTGTCGCTCAAATCTATGAACCCCTAAAGTTGTATAAGTTTTAATGACAAACTAA